CCGTACGTCTTGAAAAGCCTGAAGCCCTGAACACTACGTTAGTCGTTGCGAGGTTTGGGTGTAGTGCATGTCGCCCCTTTGATGAAGTAGTCCTCGCAGTGTGCGTGAGTGCTGGGCGGGTGGCCGAAAAACCCAAAGCAAGCCCTGTAAACCTAGCCCTGTAATCCTCTGCAACCCTGACCCAGGGTTTAGGGTTTAGGGTTCATGCTGCATGCGTACTGGCTAGACGGCTAGACCTCAGACCAGTGGCAACAAGGGTGCGTGGCTCATTCAGCCAGTTGAGAGTTGAGTTATACACGCGAACAACACAGAGTAACATGGAGCATTTTGGCTTAAGTTCACTTTATCATGCTCCCAGGGACCTTCAAGCAAACCCGCAGACCAAGGTCCGTGATCCGCAAGGACTCGGCAAGCCCGGGAAACCTAAGCGCTGAAGAGTTTCGGATTTAGGTTTTAAAGGGTTTACAGGGCTCCCTGATCCCTAAACCCTAAACCCTCAACCCTCAATCCCTCTGAAGTTTCTGCCTTCGGGAGTCGAGGGCAACTGGGCTTCGGGAGCTTGACTTACCCGAATGCCGTCACTTAGGCAGTGCCCAAATTTGGTGCGGTGGAAACCCCCGACTCACTCCCAAACATGCTGAACCCCCGAAAAAGACGAACACCCAATTATCTCTACAGCGCCCTGTATCCCTGCGGGTCCATGTACCTTACCATTATATACTTGGGCCCCAAAGTCCTGATATGGGAGGTACTTTAAGGCCCAGGTATACCCCATTTAGGTACATGGACCCCTGGGGTACCCTAAACCCTAAACCCTAAACCCTAAACCCTAAACCCTAAACCCTAAACCCTAAACCCTAAACCCTAAACCCTAAACCGGCGTACCCCCTTGCCTTCAACTGCTTCGGAAGCAGGATGGCTTGAGCGGCCTGTTGAGTCGCGGCTTAGCAACCCGCGCCCCGTCCTTCTGCTAGTGGTTTTGGGTTGGGGTGTTCCCCCCTATACTAACGGTCCTTAGCAGGGATGATAGTACCCGCCCTCCAAAAAAATAAATAAATAAATATATATATATATATATATGTAGTAGCAATAATGGTAATAGTAACAACAATACGAATAAGAAGAAGAATAACAACATATTTACAGATACATTTTTGTATACATAGTAAAAATAATCACTGTTAAGGACTGTTAGCAGAAGGGGGGAACATCCCCAGTGTTTGCCTTTAGGGGGCTTCAGTCTTCATCCAGTGGGTCGGTGGGTCCTTGGGCCGTTACGCTTCTTGTAAAGAGATATTCAGGTGCATTCGGGTAGGGGGTTTAGGGTTCAGGGTTTATGCTCCTTAAGCACATGATACTGAGGGGTATTGGGATGGTTAGGGTGCTTTCGGGCTAGAGCTCCGGTTTTGGTGTTGCAGTTGCATGGTTTGCTGGGTTTTCGGTGGCGCTGCCGTCGAATGGGGTTTGATACAAGCCTTCACTCACCCAAGCCACTACGTTCTCAGGCTCCTCGAAACCCTCAACCCTAACATAGGATTTGCGAAATTAGGGTACGGTATTGGGGTCCTTACTATAAGGGGATCCTATTATTTGGGGGTCTACCCGCTTATACCAGCAGTCCTTAATAGGGATTGAGTGCCCCCTATGATGATCCCTAATCGGGACTGTTGTGACAAGGGGGGACATCCCCTAAACCCTAAACCCTAATCCCAATCAGCTTCAAAAACACCACGGCGACAAAGAATCAAGAATGTCTCAGGAGCTAGCGGTCCCTGAGTATCGTACCCCCCCCCCCCCGCACATGTTGTCAGCCCAGAAAAGGGGGACATCCCCTAAATCTTAAACCCTAAGCCCTAATCCCAATTAGGGGTCCCTTAGTATCCTAAGCCCCCCGCCACCACCCCCCTAAACCCTAAACCCTAAACCCTAAACCCTAAACCCTAAACCCTAAACCCTAAACCCTAAACCCTAAACCCTAAACCCTAAACCCTAAACCCTAAACCCTAAACCCTAAAATCTAAACCTCAACCCTAAACCCTAAACCCTAAACCCAAACCCTAACCCCCCCCCCCCCCCCCCGGCCCCCCACATGTTTGCCAGGTATTGCTGCAAACGGCATCTCCGGCATGGTCTTCTCTGTGCAGCTCGGCAGCTTATGAGACCGAGGGTTTGAGGGCGTGGGGGTTTAAGGGATTAGGGTTTAAAGCTGCAAGAGACCTGGATGCAAAAAGGGTTTAAAGGTTTAAGGGTTTAGGGTTTGAGGGGTTTGGGGGTTTAAGGGTTTAGGGTTTAAGGGTTTAAGGGTTTAGGGTTTGAGGGGTTTGGGGGTTTAAGGGTTTAAGGGCTTAAGGGCTTCAGGGCTTAAGGGTTGAAGGGTTTAAGGGTTTAAGGATTTAAGGGTTAAGGGTATAGGGTATAGGGAGTTGCGCTTGTTGGTTTAAGGCTGATCGTGAGCTTCAGTGTGTTGCTGATGTGCGGGGACGTGACATTGTGAGCACGTGGACTTTTTGAGAATGCCATACTCGTTTAACCTAGCTAGATGAGGTGTACTTGAGTGCTAAATTTTCTACTGCATGTATGTGTGTATGTATGTGTGTATATATATATACATATACAATTCCCTGTGCATACGGGCCCTGGACACCTCAACCCTAGCCCACGAAGGCTCTACCGCGTCTTCGAAGAGCCCCTGCTGAGCCGACAGCCAACTTAGACCGGGATCTGCGGAGGCCCAAGGTGGTGGGAGAGACTCGCACCATTGCAATTTTTACTACTTGCTTAATTAAGAACAAATAAAACATGTTCTGCCTTATAAGGGCAATATAAAAATATTATTTTCTATCTTTTTGGGGCTTCTTAAGCTATTAGTAGTTCTGGGCATAGACTCAAGGGTGTATGGTATGGAGGTTTTCCTGGATAGGTCAGTAAAGGCTCATCCTTTTGGTCACCCTTCAAGATGTCGTATAAACTTGCGAGCTGCTTGAAAATTTGGAACGGGATTGTGATCCCCGAGGCTCCAAGACCCCTTTGCTTTAGGACCGTTCCTTAAGTCATCTTAGGGTTTGAGTTAAGGGGTACGGTATATGCATCAAGGGCTCCAGGGTGTGTTTTTTGGGTGAGGTCGGCGATGGAGGGTTTAGGGTTTAGGGTTTAGGGTTTAGGGTTTAGGTTTTAGGGTTTAGGGTTTAGGGTGTTAGGCTTGAAACGCTCATAAGCTACCGCTTGGTCCCTAAAACACGAACCCGAAGGCTCAAAATAGCCCAAAAACCGTTTATGAGAAGGCCTTTGAGCCCCAAACACCCTTAAGTATGGGTCCTTAGAGCCTTAGGGAAGGATGACATCAGTTTCATAGCCTTATTTAGGGTTTAGGGTTTAGGGTTTAGGGTTTAGGGTTTAGGGTTTAGGGTTTAGGGTTTAGGGTTTAGGGTGAAAGATGATTTGTGCCGGAGTCTCTCCTGTTTTTCCTGCCACCGAGCGGCCGCGATCCCACTGCTCAGTGGGTTTCCTACCAACAGCTCCCGGCGTCAAGTTCGGGTTGCAAGGGTTTAGGGTTTAGGGTTTAGGGTTTAGGGTTTAGGGTTTAGGGTTTAGGGTTTAGGGTTTAGGGTTTAGGGTTTAGGGTTTAGGGGTAGGATACTTCAAGTTCGGGTTGTAATGTTACATTCAGGGTTTAGGGCCACGAGCACTGGGGTCTGAGAGTGTTGTTAAGACTTTCCGGCCAAGACATCATAGCCCGGATGCAAAGAAAGCACTTGGGGTTTAGGATTTAGGGCTTCGGGATTAGGATAGTTGGGGCTTAAGGCTCTCATGCGGCTCGTTTCGGGATTCGGCATCGTTGCACTTGGGTAGGGTCCTAGGGTTGACGTGGTCCCTAAACCCTAAACCCTAAACCCTAAACCCTAAACCCTAAACCCTAAACCCTAAACCCTAAACCCTAAATGCACTCAAATATCGTATCGTCCTTTTCGGGCCCGAAATTCACCGTCCTGAATCACGAGGTGCATGACGCCCTGGCTCCGCCGCGCAAGAGGGTTTTAGGGTTTAGGAACCCTAAACCCTAAACATCCCTAAACCCTAAACCCTAAAGCCTAAAGCCTAAACCCTACACCATCCAGACCCCAAACCCGTTTTAGGGCATTTTAGGGTTCATGGTGTTCGGAGCGCGTTAGAATTAGGAGTTCCAGTTTCACTCCTGCGCCCGGTTTCAAAAAAGGCGATCCTTGGGGGATTGCATGGACCCTTCAAAGGGTTCATCAGGGTTTAGGGTTTGTAGAGCTCATGATGGTACCTTAGGAGGGATATACCTTAATGGGAGTTAGGGTTTAGGGTTTAGGGTTTATTAATGGGGTTTAGGGTTGATCCCATTTTCAGAGTTTACTTTGTTCGCAAGGATAGGTGAGCGGCGCTGTTCTGACGGGAACGTGATCCCTAGGGCACCCGAGTGTAGTTAAATCCCTCAGCCATCGGTTTGTTATCAGCGCGCGCGATTTCACTTGTAGTAGGGATACGGCTGAAGTGCTTGCACACACTCTGTGCGCCTTGAATACAACCAGCCGTTGCCCCCGTAGGTTCCAGCATGTCAGCCAGCAGCTCATGGCACAGCCGGTTTCAAGCAAGCCCAAAACCCGGAGACCCCATCCTGGTGGACGAAATGAACCCTAAAAGGGTTTATGGTTCATATACCTTAATAGGAACCATAGTAGTAGAGGGTATATGACCCAATTTTTAGGGGTTCATTTGGTCCCCAAGGATGTGCTACGCCTGTGCATCTTGCACCCAAAGCTTCCTTACCACACTGGCTTCGGTACGTCGTGGTATTTACGGAAGAGTTTGGCCTGAACAGATGTTCGCCACGGGTCGCTACATTGCACCGACCGAACTGCCACAGAAGGATATACCCCATCAGCATCGTGAAGCCTAGACTCTGAAATCCCCGAAGCTCTAGAGAGCAAAACCCATGCGAGGGCGTCAAGGAATGCTGCCCCTTGCGCGCAGCTGCCATGGCCTTTGTCCAAGCGCGCCGAACGCTTCAGGCTAGCCACAGCCTGCATTTGGGTTCAAAGGTTGCAGGGTTTTGGGCATAAGGCTCTTGAATGTAAGGGAAGTCGGAGTATATAGGAAGTACTTCAGAGTCAGTTCAGGTTAGGAAGTTCGGTACGCTTGGTTTGGGAGCATCCCGGCTGCTTCATGTCAGCCGCCAAGTGAGACACGCACGCCTCAGGAGGATCGCCTTGTTCAGGCACATGCCCGACAAGCTGGGAAAGTTTTGGGGTTTCGGCCTTAGGCTTTAGGCTTTAGGCTTTAGGCTTTAGGGTTTAGGGTTTAGGGTTTAGGGTTTAGGGTTTAGGGTTTAGGGTTTAGGGTTTAGGGTTTAGGGTTTAGGGTTTAGGGTTTAGGGAACACGAAATCCACTTCGGGACCGAATGGGTTTGGGGGTCTCTGGTTTGGGGGAGTGGGGGTGAGGGGAGCGCCTCGCAAATGCAGGGCTCAACAATGTGCTGCAAGGGCTCTCTAAAACCCAAAACCCCAAACCCTAAACCCACAGACCCAGCAAACCCTATAAAGCCTACAAACCCCCCAAACCCTATAATCACTATGCACCCTCGGCTGAACCCTATAAAGCCTACAATGGCCAGGGCCTGGGTCGGATCGCAGCTCTGCGGGCACGTGGGCCTGGAAGGCTGTTTAGGGTTTCGGGTTTACTTAGGGTTTTGAGTTTAGGGTTTAGGGTTTATGTGGTGTATAGGGCTTAAGGTTTGGAACTTAGGGTTTATAGGGACTCTTTATAGGGTTTGTAGGGATTATGTAGTGTTTATAGGGCTGAGAGGGTTTTTTGGGGTTTATAGGTTTTGCAGGATTTAAAGGGTTTATGGGGTTTCTAGGGCTTATGGTACAGGGATTGTACCGAGATAAGTTTGTTTTGCCACCCTAAACCCTAAACCCTAAACCCTAAACCCTAAACCCTAAACCCTAAACCCTAAGGCCATTGTAGACACGCGAAGGTGGACGGAGTGCGGGTTCGGGATTGGGGGTTTAGGGTTTCGGGTTTCGGGTTTCGGGTTTAAGTGTCAACCGGGTGTCCGTGTGCTCTAACCTGAAGGCGATTGCAACAAGTCCTGATGGAAAACAAAGTGTGAACCGGGTATTTAGGTACATGGCTCTTTTTCGTTTATTCGGATATGCCGGCTGCGAATTGTTGGGAATTTCTTGGCGCTCAGAATTTAAGGACCCAATAATAACTACGTCCCTGGAAGTTTATACTTGAAGGTTCATGGGTAGTTATAAGTAGGTTATGAATACCTTCGTCCAGGTGAAAATATATGTTACCTTACTTGTGGCCCTACTTATGACAACCCTTGAACCTTCAAGAAGGGTTACAGTGACTGTTTTCGGCTTGTTCAAAAGGTTTGGGCAAGCTCACTCTCTCCCGAGGTCTCTTTATGGCAACGACCTTCCTTTTGCGGAGGTTAGTGGTTTAGGGTTTAGGGTTTAGGGTTTAGGGTTTAGGGTTTAGGGTTTAGGGTTAGGGGAAGTGTTACACCCATGTCACCACCCCTAGCTTTGAGGCTGCCCTGGCGGAGGCTGGCTTCAGGAACAGTGGAGCAGCTGAGGCCCGACGCAGTGTACTGAGTCGAGGATTCAGGGTTTGGGGGGGTTTTAGGTGCCCTAAACCCTAAACCCTAAGCCCTAAACCCTAAACCCTAAGCCCTCATTTAGGGGCCCCCCAAACCCTCACACCCCTTGAAGCCATTCTGCCATTGCAAGCCCGGGAGACGGATTCACCACAGGCTCCGAACATGGCCCTCCAGCCTAGGGCCTAGGGTTTAGGGTTTAGGGTTTAGGGTTTAGGGTTTAGGGTTTAGGGTTTAGTCCTCCCCTCTTAACGAAAAAAATGTTCCTAGGTTAGTAGAACGACGCCCGAATTGCAAAACTTAGCTGCGCAGTGGGAGGTGAGATGCAATTCCGGTGGTTGGAGTTGCGTGCCTCATTGTGGAGGGGTTCAGGGTTTGAGGGTTCATATAGGGTTTAGGGTTTAGGGTTTAGGGTTTAAGGTATTTCGTTCAGCCTGTTGCAGAAGGGTTTAGCCCCCCATGACCATAAAGAGTCACTCACCCGTCACACCCAAACCCCCAAACCCTGGAAACCCTAAACCTTAAACAATGTGGGTCTGCTTCGCGGGTCGCAAAAACCCTTTAGACATATTGAGGCTTGGAGGGTCCCTTCCCGCTGGTGCATGGAGTCAGGCCCTAGAGCTCCATCGCACAAAGGCAAAGCCTCGTTCTTCACCCAGCCGTGTCTCAATGCGCAACTTGGACCCAATCATGCCCCTGAACCCCTAAACCCCCCTAAACCCTCAACCCCAAACCCTAAACCCTAAACCCTAACCCTAAACCCTAAACCCTAATAAACCCCTAAGCCCTAAACCTTGCTGAGCTGAAGCCCGCTTTGCATGCGAAGTACGAAGCACCTTAGCGTGTCTTGTCGGCCAGCTGGAGCGTGCCGTATCACCGGGTTTAGGGTTTAGGGTTGAGGGTTTAGTGTTTAGGGTTTAGGGTTTATTCCTTTGGTGGGGGTTAGCGCTATGGCTCGTATATGAAAGTACCATCTACGAAGGAGATCAGGTAGCAACTCACCCCCGCCCTACGCGCAAACTTATGCGGCCGAAGGGCTGCGTTTTTAGGTTACCGTGGGTTCTCTTGCCCCCGGAAGCACAACAAGGGCAACTTCTCACCTACTTCGGACCTTTTAGGGGTGAGATGAAGCTTCTACTGCATCAAGTCCATGCATGGGGGGCGCAGCTCCCACAATCATGCACCGTTGGCATGTTCCCCCTCATGCTAGCAGTCAGTCCTCAATAATAGAGATTATCATAGAGGGGGAACATCCCAGAAACTCGACTGAATATCAAGGCTCCATGCTATGAATTCAGAGCCCCCCAAAGGGTCCCTGGTATAGAGACTCGACTTTGGACCCTGTTGGGATCCTAGGCCTTACTTAGGGTTTAGGGTGTAGGGTTTAGGTTTTAGGAAAAAAGGGCTCAGTCGCAAAACTTGTTGCGAGTCCTTTGCCCAGGTGTTCATTGAGAATGTGGCATATGTGGTGAGGAAGGTGTCTGCAAATCCACAGGCGCCTTCTGATGGAGCGGCCCACGGGTTCTCGCGAAAGTTTGGGGGCTGCGAAGCTATATGCAAGAAACTTTGGGGCTGCTAAGCTCGGGTTAACAACTTACCCCTAAGTTTTAGGGTTTAGGGTCTCGGAGTCTAGGGTTTAAGGGTTCTAGGGTTTTTAGTGGTTCAGGGTTTAGGGTGTCCTCGGCCCCCCATGCCCTGATAAGTGAAAATCTGAGTTCTCCATTGAAAGCGAGCCTCCACACGAACGACAACGTCTGGATTACTTGGAGGTTCGTGCGTACTTATACTCCCAATTATCAGCCTACTTGTAAACTACCTGGAGGAAAATTCCCTGCACCTCCAAGTAGAGGAAGGAAACAAGGGGAGCCACGGCCAGGGCCGACGCCCTAAACCCTGTGTGATTCCAGTCAAAAAATCCCTTAAAGCCTAAACCCTATACCCTAAACCCTATCCCTCGGTCGCCCTAAGCCCCATTAGCTCTATCTATGGGCTATGCCTGAATACCGCAACGGCAAAGTCAGCAGTAGAAAGGCTGGGCTCTAGGGCTTAGGGTTTGGGATTGTTCTGGTTTCTTTCATGAACGAGCAGAACTTGACCTTGCAACAGTTCCAACAAGACCCACAAACCCGACGACACCTCATCCCAAAGACAGTGTTTCCGAATGGGGAGTTGGGGGAGAGGCTTTGTGGGTCTTGCACATGTTGTGCATGGGTTGAGCGGGCTTGTAAAGCTGTTTAGCCTCGCAGCCCCCGGGGGTTTAAGAGGAAAAAACAGACCTTTAAGCCTGCAGGCCCTGAGAGCTTAGGAGTTCGGGCTTGGTTTGGGGTTTAGGGTTTTGGGTTTAGGGTTTAGGGTTTAGGGTTTAGGGTTTAGGGTTTAGGGTTTAGGGTTTAGGGTTTAGGGTTTAGGATCCTGGACCCCCTAAACCCCTCTCTAAACCCCTCAAATCTGGTCTTGGCAAGCCGATCGCTTGCCGCCAAGTTGCAGGCCGAGATTCTGGACAGCAGCGTGCACGATTGGGAGCTCGAGAAGCAGTTGGTGCTCAAGGACCCCCTTCAACCTGGGGTGCCCAGTAGTACCCTTATTCCCTTTTTGGGGGGTTTAGGTTCCCTTATAAACCCCTTTAAGCAAAAAAGGGCACCCTTTTAATCCCAGGTTACTGGACCCCCTTCAACCAATCACCACCCCAAGGGTGTTCAAGGAAGACGAGGTTCTTACACAAGCACGGTTGCGGGATTGAGGGTCGTAAAGACCCTAACTGAGGGCTTTTGCAAGAGCCAACAGCGCCAGCGCACAACACCTGACATGCTTGCAATGACGACCCACGGAGGAGCCATCCTGGCAAAAGCCTGGCAGACCCCAAGCCCCTGGTAAGCCCTCAGCCCTCTTAAAACCCCATGAATACCGTATAGACCCTATAAACCCCTTATAAACCCCCTACCCGCTACCGCTATTCTCGTACCCCCCAACCCCCCCCCCCCCCCCCCCCCTAAAAAAAACCCTCTAGGCCCTGATTGAAGCTCTGAGAGGGTGTCGGGTTCAGGCTACGGACTGGTCCATCTCACAGGAGTGCGTGCCGTGGCTGGGCTGCGCAGACTTGGGGGGCTCCATGCTTCGGGGGGTTTAGGGTTTAGGGTTTAGGGTTTAGGCTTGGGGCTCGGAGTTCCAGGGTTAGGATTTAGGGTGTGGGGTACAGGCTGTGATGCCACGACAGGCCTGACATTGACTGAGCGCCTGTGAGAGCGACCCCTAAACCCTAAACCCTAAACCCTAAACCCTAAACCCTAAACCCTAAACCCTAAACCCTAAACCCTAAACCCTAAACCCTAAACCCTAAACCCTAAACCCTAGACCCTAGACCCTAAACCCTAAACCCTAAACCCTAACCTTTAGGGTTTCGGCTTTAGGGTGCCGGCAGCCTCCAAGTCTGTTGCTCAGAAGGGTTTAGGGTCAAGGGTTTAAAAGTTGAGGGGTACCCAAAGAGCCCAACACCCCTTAAATAAGGCATATACTTTAATTTATACAAGAATCCTTAATATGATTTAAGGTAAATTCCTCCTTAATTAAGGGGTATTGGGCTCTTTGGGTAGTCAAGCAGTTGCAGGTCAGAGCTTTACTCCTAGACCCCTGAGACACTCGAAGTCCTAAGCAAGTTCGCGAGAGCTTTTGTCCGGGACAAGCCATGCGGAGCATCGCCTTGTAAGGGGGTTTAGGGTTTAGGGTTTAGGGTTTGGGGTTTAGGGTTTAGGGTTTAGGGTTTAGGGTTTAGGGTTTAGGGTTTAGGGTTTAGGGTTTAGGGTGCTCCGTGCAGGGAACACTTTAATCGCTCTAAGATCCAACCCCAATCATCCTAAAGGCCTTTCAGCCCTAAGCCCTGGTGCCGTTGCAGACACAGGGATAGTGGCGGATGGACAAGCAGTTGCAAGCAAGTGTACACGGCCAGAAAGATGTTTCCATAACACTTACAGATCCATGTATATTATATATATATATATATACGTATACACATATATATGTATACATATAGAGCATACGCCATATGAACGATGCGACCATCTGCAGGCAAGTCCGGGTGTTGGACCAGCTCCCGGGCGCAAACTTGTGCCCCGAACGCACGGACCGGCTTTGTTGGATTCTGAAAGTCTCTTTAGTAGCTGAGTAGGCCTACCCTAATTGGAAGGCGAGCCTGTTTTGGTGCAGGGTACTCAGCAACTATGAGGTTTGGGGTCTTTAGCCGTTATAAGGGCCTGCCTCCGGGGTTTCCGGAGTTGGAGAGCCACAGTTTGGGGAACTGCTTGGCTTACGCCTGCCCCCCCCCCCCCCCCAAGTATGATGGACCTTACGACTCACTGTCACAGAATTTGCTGGAGGGCCTGAGTTCTTTTTTAGGTGTTGCCGGGGTGAGCACCTAAAGGCTCAACCCCAAACCCTAAACCCCAAACCCCAAACCCTAAACCCTAAACCACGAGTAGTCGTGGCTAGAGGTGTGAGATGGCTCTCAGTATATAGGGTTTTATAATGGCACACCTTGCTTGTGAGCCCCACATGGGTACTGCTCAAGATTAGGTCCTTTTTTTGGCAAGTATGGAACCCTAAGAGACCCCAAACTCAGCGAACTACCCATAGAACACCTCGCTTTTGAGCCCTAAACCCCTATATGTAAGCAGACCGGCTGAATCCTAAACCCCCAAAACCCCCTAAACACCTAAACCCCTACAACCCTAAACCCCATGCACTCTTCTAAGTAGGTCCTCATTGGAGCCCACAAAAACGGAAGCCCTCGGCCGTAGAAGTCCGTAAGCCACCTCTCTCAGCCATGACAACCTTTAAAGCTTTAGGGTTTTGGGTTTTAGGGTTTAGGGTTTAGGGTTTAGGGTTTGGGGTTTAGGGTTTAGGGTTTAGGGTTTAGGGTTTAGGGTTTGGGGTTTGGGGTTTGGGGTTTGGGGTGTGGGGCTTAGGGTATAGCACGTCCCTGGGCCTGGCTCCCGGCTGATTGGATAGAGCTCCGGGTGCAAGAAAGGGTATAGGGTTTAGGGTTTGCTTTTAGGGTTTAGGGGTCAGTTCAGGGTTTAGGGTTTAGGGTTTAGGGTTTAGGGTTTGCTTTTAGGGTTTAGGGGTCAGTTCAGGGTTTAGGGTTTAGGGTTGGCCCTCCAGGTTTTGGGGCTCAGGGCCAGGGTTCAGGGTCAAAAGCGGAGGTGTAGTTAGGCTGAGGCAAAAAGGGCCTTGAAGCCCTGGGTTTAAGAGGATCCATGTAGGAATATGTTTCAGAGGCTTTTAGGGTTTAGGGTTTAGGGTTGAGGGTTTAAGGGCGTCCTAGCCAAACACGCCCAGGGCCAGCACTGCCGTGCCCTTCTCCCTCCTGCACATGCTGCACGTGCTGTTTCAGGCCCCATGTCTCCATGGTGAGCTTACCTAAAACCCTAAACTCCTATTCTCCTAAACCCCTAAACCCTAAACCCGAAACCCTAAACCCTAAACCCTAAACCCTAAACCCTAAACCCTAAACCCTAAAGCCTAAACCCTAAACCCTAAACCCTAAACCCTAAACCCTAAACCCTAAACCCTAAACCCTAAACCCTAAACCCTAAACCCGAACCCTAAACCCATAGGACTGTCGTGGGCGTTCTCTTTTTGCGGCTTTGGACTCTTGCTTTGGCAGTTGGGGCCCCACGTAGGCGAAGACCCCATGCCCAGGTTATGATGCTGCATCTTTGTCATGTTAGATTCCCGGGTTTAGGGTTTAGGGTTTAGGGTTTAGGGTTTAGGGTTTAGGGTTTAGGGTTTAGGGTTTAGGGTTTAGGGTTTAGGGTTTAGGGTTTAGGGGAGTTAAAAATGATCATCCCCGGATTCTAAGGGCAGTTACTGGGATGTTCTCCCTTGCACTAGCAGTCCTTTCTAGGGATTATCGTGCCCCCCTCGTAATTCAAATTCCTAAACCCTAGGGATTATCGTAACCCCCTCGTCATTCAAATCCCTAAGCCCTAAACCCTCAACCCTAAACCCTGTTAGTTTAGGGTGGAGCATCCCAGGGCACCCTTACCTTCTTTAAAGGGTTCTGATGTACGGGCCCTTGGGATTTATAGGGTGTATAAGGGGTATGTAAGGGGTCCCCAAAAGGGCCCATATAACTACCTAAAGACTGAAAATGGTTCGAATCCCCCGTCCGGGGCTCTTAGGGCCTCGAGCACGTCATGCGCGGGTTGTTGTACATCATGGCCCCTGCTCGAGTTCCTTTTATATATTTACAGCGTACGCAAACCAAAGGGTAAGAGAACTGCATCCATACGTTTCGCCTCACTTTTTGCCCATCTTTTTTTTCCGTCGTTTTTTTTCCGTCAGGAGGTGGACGAAAGCCGCAATGGTCAGATCTCCTTCTCCGAGTTTCTGGCTTTCTGCAAGACCACCAAGCTTTTCGACACGGCCGATAAGGCGAGCGAGGCCTCTCGGTAGCAAGCCATCCTTGAAGTGCGCAACAAAGTCATTTTTTTGTATGATGATACTCATATAGATATGTAAAGATATGGTCGTAGGATTTTTGTCAAGTTGTTCTCTTGTTAGTATGTTGCATTGCTGTTTGATTTCTCTTATGTTAATAGAGCAATTAGTCTGAATGTAGTATTGTAACATCCTGAACTCGAACCCTAAATCTCGCATATGCCTTGAGCCCAGGTCTTCTTTAGCAAGCGCTCCGTTCCCACAGCGAGCGAGCTCCTGTTCAGCGAGAACGATTTTTTCGCGTTGAGCAACTCAGAGACTGGGATGGAAGGTAATTAGGTGTTTTTCAATGATGTACCTCTGTCTGCCTTCTTGCAAAAAATCTATATTTTTGTTGTAAAAAACCTTCTTGCAAAGAAATCAATATCTTTGTTGTAAAAAGAAATCAAATACCGTTCTAACGATTTCAGAAAAGGTGAAGGCAGTGCACCCTATGACAGCTAGGTTTGTGCAGGGTACAGCCGAGCGCCCGCTTGTGCATGACAAACCCAAAGCCCGTAACCCGAAACCCTATCATCACATTAGTCTAGTACTAGACAGTATCTTCGGATGAGAGTTTTATGACATTCCAGTATTGCTACAATAGAGCATGTAGAATTTCATATCCTTGCAACTCAGGAGAGTCACATCATGAAGTTCAGCGAGTTTCAGCAGTTGATGCTGGACGCCGGCGTCGTAGTACCAGCCTCAGTCGGCTTTGCCAAGTCCCGCCTTCCCACACCAATAAGAGTGTTCTGAAGCCCGACCGGGTTGCCCTATAGAACCCCCGTGTTCCCTTTCAAGGTCTAGGTACCCTGAGCTGGGTTTTGGGGTACTTTACTTCAATACTTTGTTTTTTGGTCTCTGGGTTCCTGTTATGGCTACTTGTACCTAAGAAGAATATACCTTTTTTCCAGGGTCTACTCCAAAGTAGGGCCCTTCTCGGCCCCATTAAGGGAACAAAAAGGGCATCCTCATCATACTTGGGTTTTCCGGGGCACCTCACCTGAGATGGTTTAGGGTCTAGAGGGTTTAGGGTTTAGGGTTTAGGGTTCAGGGTTCAGGGTTCAGGGTTCAGGGTTCAGGGTTTAGGGTTTAGGGTTTAGGGTTTAGGGTTTAGGGTTTAGGGTTTAGGGTTTAGGGTTTAGGGTTTAGGGTTTAGGGTTTAGGGTTTAGGGTTTAGGGCCCCTAGGGCGTCATCTTTCACAGGCTTTGGGCTGGGGGTTTGGATACTAGCAGGTGGCGAGTTCTGTGGATAACAAGGGGTACAACGACTTTCGTTCTTACATCCTTATATCCGTGTATAAGTTGCATTCTTATTATTGCTATCTTGCTATCTGATTGCATGATGACATATGTATATGTACATGTGTTTGGCTGGAGAACAATCATCCGTGGTAGCCCGGGAATCGTCGCAATGTACCCAAAGAGCCCAATACCTCTTAAACAAGGAATATACCTTAATTTATAAAAGGCTCCTTATGATGTAAGGTATATTCCTTAATTAAGGGGTATTGGGCTCTTTGGGTAGTGAGAGCTCCAAAGTAAGTGTGCCGCGACCTGGCCTGTAAGACCCATCGTATTCTGGTCTGCTCGGTAGGCCCTTGGGACATGTTGGGTTTAGGGTTTAGGGTTTAGGGTTTAGGGTTTAGGGTTTAGGGTTTAGGGTTTAGGGTTTAGGGTTTAGGGTTTAGGGTTTAGGGTTTAGGGTTTAGGGTTTAGGGTTTAGGGTTTAGGATTTAGGGTTTAGGGTTTAGGGTTTAGGGTTTAGGGCTTCTTGGGTTTCAAGAGGGTAGTATATTTAGGAAATCGTTTCATGGGGTTTTAAGGGCCATCCTAGACAAGACCCATAGTATCATCGTTTTGGAATAGTATTCGAACAGTTGTATTATAGTATTGTCATAGTATGTCAACAGTACCTATTATCGCATTCTTCGTATTCTAGTATGATCATGCTCTAGTAATAATTCAAATGTTCTAGCAATCTGTTGTAGCATCAAGGCGTTGTTGCATTCTAGCTTTACACCATGGGCAACGTAGGGCTTGGCTTCTAGCGCCGAAGACAGAGCCTCCTTTGCGCATAGGACGTGATCCCTCGCACACCGGGTCAAGACCCGCACGGTGCGCCCTTGGTCTCCTTCTTCGTGGATGAGAGGGCGCCCTGGGGTTTAGGGTTTAGGGCTTAGGGCTTAGGGCTTAGGGCTTAGGGCTTAGGGCTACGGGTATAGGTTGAGTGTTTAGGGTTTAGGGAGGCTTGGGGTGCCGCCGCTGCCATGCCTGATAGGACATCTACTACAATGCAAGAAGCAGGGGCTTACGGTGTAAGTTCTGTTCTGGCCACAGGCCCCTTGCAGCATGCCAAGATTTTTGTTTTTTTCTTTCACCCCGCCTCCCCCCCACCCCCCTGAGATCGTGGATCTCATCCTCCACCACTGGTTTGCAACCTACGACTCCGATTCAGACGGCGTCCTGCAACTGGAGGACTCCACGCGCTCCAAGCCCTTCCCGAGCCTGTACCTTGGGGACTAAATGAACCCGAAAAGGGTTTATGGCCCATATACCTTAATGCTGACTAGAGTAGCATCGGGTTCTTGCTAGAGTAGCATCGGGTTCTTGTTTGGGTTAAGGGTTTAGGGTTTAGGGTTACATTCACATGGTCCCCAAGGTACAAGACAGGTCTAGTCTTAAGAGTCTAAACATCGCGTGCACCAAAGACTGAAGGCTCCCCCTCACTGTAGTCCTTAAATTTCAACGGTATGGTTTAGGGTTTGGGGTTTAGGGTTTAGGCCCTATAATCCCCATAATCAACCCTATAAAGGGCCTTTCTTAAGAGGTTATAGGGTTCGATAGACCGTCCTGGTATGCACACATCTTTTCTTAAAATCATACCTGCACAGTTCAGATCGTAGAGGGGATTACCGGTGGATGACCATCACGCCGAGACCTCAGTGGACGACATTTACCTCCGGACAACAACCAAGCATGTGGAAAATGTTCTAATTGATGTTCCCTTTTGGGGTACCCTAGCTATGAGGCTCCGAGTAGTACAAAATCCCTAACCCTAAACCCTAAACCCTAAACCCTAAACCCTAAACCCTAAACCCTAAACCCTAAACCCTAAACCCTAAACCCTAAACCCTAAACCCTAAACCCTAAACCCTAAACCCAACCATGAGCATGTGGGAGGGCATTGAGGAAGCACAGCGGTAGCCTTTCGCTCTTTGTAGTTTCCGACTTCCGCCACACAAGGCCTGCAAGCAACTTAGGAAACATGGGAACCCTCACTGTATGGCATGGTTGCTGGGCTGCCTATTCTGCTTCTTATGAAAGGCTCAGTGAAGGCTGCTGCTTTGCGTCTGCAACCCTTTCAATCCGAAGCCCTAAAGCCGGAAAGCCCTGAACTTTGCACTGCCCAGGCAAGTCTCAAAGAGTAACACCAACCACGACATTGTTCTGCTGCACAAACCCCTGCCGGCCAAGCCCGAAAATTATCTCAGAAAGTGGGTTTAGCTTTGTTTAGGGTTTAGGGTCAGCCCCATTCAGGACTATGCTCGCCTTGTCGCTGACTACCAGCTGCCCCTCACGGCCTCTGATGAAGCCTCATGGAAGCAGAGCCACCATGCGTAGTTAGATCAGCAGAAGTCCCGTTTAGGGTTTAGGGTTTAGGGTTTAGGGCTTAGGGCTTAGGGTTTAGGGTTTAGGGTTTAGGGTTCAGGGTTTAGGGTGCAGAACAGTGGCCGTCATCGCAGCGTCACCGATCTTGTGCATGAACCCTCTGAAGCACTGGGTGCTAAACACAGTTGCAGAGCACTGGCTGTGGTCAGGTGGAAACGTGTCCATTTGTTTTTGTCAACATGTCTATATGTCTACATCTAATTTTTGATGTGGATGTTAATGCTTACATGCATGTGAGCCCTTCCCATTGGAGTGCTTTTGAAGGTAAGACGTTCGAGCGCAGCACAAGGTTGTTTTTTGACGGCACTCCGAAGTCCTGAGGCCTCGTCCACGCCCCTACAGCGCTCACACGTGTCCCAGAACAGTCGCACGCAAGGTCTACACCCATGCCACCCACAAGCATTCTGGGGGACTTGCACCTCAGTGGCAAGTGTGCGCCATACACAAGTCGAATAAGGCTGGTGACTTGCAGCGTGTCACCCTGAATTTGCAGCCCCTCAACCCGAAGCCCTAAGCCCTCAACCCTGAACCGCATTCATTCCCGCTGACTCCTTGGGGCCACCAGTAGCCTTGAGGACATTCTCGACTTCCGGTCTTTGCTGGAGAAGTCGAGTGCCCTAGCTACAGGTGGGCGGCTGTTTGTTCTGTTTGTTCTCCGCCACGGCGAACACTTTTGAAACAGGCACTCCCATCGAAAAGGATGACGAGATGGGCAGGTTGTGGCGAACAGTTGAGCCTTCCCAAGAGCTGCCCGGCGGTATTATTATGCAGCTTGTAGAATCTTTCAACCTCTTGGCACTGGGTGCCCGAGGAGTTATTGTTCCAAGGTTTGCACCGCCAAGTCGGGTCTTCGTTGCCGATGGAGCTTGGATTGCATCATGATTTGTTTCTCCAATTGCAAAGACTCAGAGCTGGGGGGGGGGGGGGGGGGGGGCGGGCAAACAATTGCACCAAATGCAGCACATCTGAAGGCCGAACGGGATCTTCGCCGCCCCTTCTCCAGGGTCACTTGCGCTTCGTGTGCCTTTCCGACACGCACGGCCAGCATCGTGAGCTGTCTTCGCGGCCCCTCGTCGGAGATGGCTGATGCTGCAGTTTGCGTTGCTCAGAGTCAGCTTCGACGTCGGTGCCCCAAGGCTACCTCCCGGTGATGTCCTTCTGCATGCAGGCAAGGGATGCAGCACGTTTGCGGTCGCGATGCCGTAATTCGCTTTTGTTCAGGTGATTTCTCGAACGAAGGAGGCTTGGAAGAGGCAGAGCGCTGAATTAGGGTTGAAGGGTGGCAGGTTCACAGCAGCCGCGCAGCATGAACATTTCCATGGCGTGCAGAAGCTGCCTGCCTGAAGGTCTTGGATTTTGCCGCGTGGATACGATCCCTGCCTTACACTCACAAGCTCTTGACCCTTGCCTGATGTTCTGTTCGGTTTCGAGAGAGCTGCACTTGGTGGTTCATGGCACTTAGTAACTAATTATAACTGTTCTTTTAACTGTACAACCTCCAAGCAAGAGTCTGGCCGATCCGAAGCTCTTAAATCCAAAAGCCTAACCTTCCAGGATTGCCGGCAACCACGACCTACCGCTTGACAAGTCCTATCACGGGAGCAAGGCTCTTTCAATTCTTGCAGCTGAACTTGGAGGTTCAGGGTACTTATATATATATATATGGACCATTATGGATCCTCATGATGTCTGTACTTCTAAGCCCTTACAGTAAGTCCTCTAAGTAGGTTGTAAGCAGACTTCTGATTGGGCTTATAAGTACCTATGAACCTCCAAGTAGTGGCGCTGCTGCAAGCATGTTCGAGCCACACAGCTGCCATGTTTCGAGTTTGCATGACCACCATGTGTCAGGTCCAGAAGAAGGTTCGGGCCAGCGACGTGCGCTCGGCCTTTATGGCCGCCCTGGAAGAGGGCGATGCTGCTTGTTTCCTTTTGGGCAAAGTGTTGCTCCAAATTGCCGTTGGAAATCAAACGCAAGCAAGCCTCCAGCTTCCTCTTAAGAAGTCAGGATGGAGTCACGTACTTGGAAGATGAGGAGATTGAGATAGGCCGCGCGTTTTGAAGGGACAGGGTTTGGTCGAGCTTGAACCTGAATTAGTCAAAGACATCATCTCTTGCCACTTCCCCCTTCCCACATGGCAACCTCCAATACAGCCTTCTCCCTCTCTCTCTCTATATATATATATATGTATATGTATGTATTCTACATGTGTGTGAGAGAATATGCTTGTACACATTGTAAGTATTTCGAATAGGTCCTTGCTAGGGGAGCTGACTTGAAACCTTAAACTCCAAAACCCCGGTGGGTTTAGGGTTTAGGGTTTAGGGTTTAGGGTATCAGGGTTTAGGGTTTAGGGATTAGGGAAAGTTTAGGGTTTAAGTGAATCCTGTCGAGGTGGCATCCGAGTGTACGGCACGCCCTGGCAGCCAGAATTTATGGATTGGGCCTTCAACTTGCCACGGCACGAGATCGGCAAAAAGTGGAAGGCACGGACTACAACTGAACCGTAAACCCTAAACCGCCGCGTTTTCGGGGATATTTGGCTTGGGAACTTGGAACGTCGAATCCAGGGGTGCAGAATGCATCAAGCGAGCCATGGACCAAAACATGTTCATCGGGGTCTTTCTGTGGTGGGATCCGCTAAAGTGGTTGGGTGCAGGGTCTAGACTTCAGGCTTAGCGTCAGCGTGCCAACGATGGAACCAGGAAATCGGTGTCGATAGGTGCTGCATGGCTTCGAGCACATACGGTTTCAGCCTTGGCTTGGAGTAGCACAGATCCCTAACCCTAAGCCCTAAACCCGAGACTCTAAACCCTAAACCCAGAAGGACTTTGAATTTGAGCGGATACCCTGTGTCTTGCTGCTCCGAAGCGAACCAAAAACCCTGCAAAAAAGCCAAAGCCGTTCACCCTGTACGGGGCTTACGGGGTTCAGCAGGTTTAGGGGGTTTAGGGTCTCTACTGGTGTAAGTACGCCCAGAACCCGCAGCTCCAAAGACTGTCGAGATCAGGCGGTGCCAACTGGGATAGACGTCTTGCTGGCACCTTGCTTGTGCGGAGCAGGATTGGAACCAATGGTGTGGGTTTTAGGCCTCAGGGCTCCAAAGTAGGGGTTTTAGGTGAAGGCTTCTGGTTTGAGATTTAGGAGCTGAAGGTTTTAGGGTTGGGGGTTGAGGGTTGAGGGACTACATCCGGAGGTCCCCACAACAGCACGTTAGCTTGCAGGCTTGAGTTTAAGGGCCAACCTACTTGCGCAGTTCCCCAAAAAGGGGTACCCCTTTAATAACGAAATTAAAGCACAATCCTTGTTTTTCACACCCCCCAGACTGGGTACCCTAATTTCCCTAAACCTTAAGCCTTAAACCCTACGAGCCAAGGTTCACGGTCCACCACTGGGTCGTGGTGATGCTCTTCTGCCTTCGCTCAAGCGTCGGGGCTGTGCCGTCACTCGGGTGCACGATGCAGACTTTGGTGAGGTTGGGGGCCTAAGCCCCAAACCCTCAACCCTAAACCAAACGATGGGGGAGGGATAGGAAGCCCTCACCCCGAAACCCGAAACACTAAACCTGTCAGGACCTCCTGACCGAAGTGCAGGATCGCATTCGGCCTCAGTTCTGCGTCTTTGGCCACATCCACGAGGGTGCGGGTGTCACCTTTGATGCCTGGTGGCGCAGTGATGCCCTTTTGCCCTTTTCCGTTTGGTTCTAGTTTCTCTGAATAAAGGAGCCAGCCCCAAGAAAGGGTACTCTTTGGGATGTGAACTCCCCCTGAAACTAACAGTCCTTAGTAGGAGTCCTTAGTAGGGATGATGATCGGGGGTACTAGAATCCCCAGTAAGGAGCTGCTAGTATAAACCCTAAACCCTAAACCCCAAACCCTGAACCCTAAACCCTGAACCCTAAAGCGGGAACATCGAAGGTACCCTTATTATGAAATGGCTACTGGGGCGCCGACTTGGAGGTTTCATGGTACTTACTATCCAGTTGCAACTCTACTTCGAACTGCACTGACATCCCCAAGTTCGGGCACTTGAGGAGCTTATAAGTGGGTTATAAGTACAGTTATACTTGGTCAATATGCACTTACATCCCCTAAATTCGGGCACTTGAGGAGCTTATAAGTGGGTTATAAGTACAGTTATACTTGGTCAATATGTACCCTAAACCCGAAACCCTAAACCCCAAACCCCGAACCCTAAAACCTAAACCCTAAACCCTTTAATGCCATGAACCTCCAAGCAAGGATGGAACCACACACTTCGTGAATGCCTCCTCGATGAACGAGCACTACCAGTGCATCCACGCCCCGCTGGTCTTCGCCGCTCGGCCATGCGGATTTAGCGGTTTAGGGTTTAGGGTTTATAAGGTTTAGGGTTTAGGGTTTAAGGTTTCTTGTGCAGCACATCCACTGCCGTGTCCATGTTGAATCGCATCTGCCCGCAAGCGCAGCCGTCAGTGGGGAGGCATCGTCGTACGCTAGCTGCTAGCGACTAATAGATGCACGGAACGAAGATTGATGCCAGGACATCCGCACGACTTCAAGTGACGGGCTGAGATAGTTGTGCATGCAGCAATTGGGGTTTACGATATTGGGGGGTGCAGTAGCTTAATGGGGTCCTTCTCATAAGGGGATCCTACTGTATGTGGGGTCTTATTTCAGGGGTCCCCAATTTTCGAAACCCCCAATTCATGCGAAGCTACAGGTGCCCTTGATAGATTCGACGCCATGGAAAAAGTGATGGAGACCTCCTGATGGAGAGTGAGCGCCTGGTGGTATTTTAACCGCATTCACCCCTAAGCCCTAAACCCTAAACCCTAAACCCCAAACCCCTAAACCCTGAACCCTAAGCCCGAAACCCTATACTCAGCGATTGCCCAAAAACCCGGCCTTGATGGCAAGCAGGTTGGCCGGTCTTGACAGATTTCTGCCGCGATGTCTTGGCTCTGAGGCAATGCACCATATGTCCGAGAAGCCCTAAACAGAAATGAACCCTAGGCCTTATAAACCCGGAACCCGAAAATCTCGGGCGTCACATTGGTTGGAGAGCTTGGCCACTGCTCCCTGCCAAACCTTTGACATTCAACACAAGCAAGTTGCAGCGGAGCAGCGCGCAGAAGATAAGCAGGTCATGCCAGACGATCCCCCATTCGAGCAGCAGCTGCAAGCTTCCAGTACAGCACTCCCACGCGTGGAAGTTCTGTTGACATAGAACCCTACACCCTGAAACCCCAAGCCCTAAACCTTATTCTACCCAAACCCCTGAACCCTAAACCCCAAAGCCCTAAACTCAAGCCCTAAACCCTAAACATGCTCCCAGCCTCATTTGATAGGAAACTCCCCCCCCCAAATTTTGGGACCCCCCCGGCAACTTGCGGAAAAACTCCCAGAAGTGGCATGGGCACAGCACCCTGTTCCTTGAGCCATGATCCGTCGCCACGGACCCAGCCTTGCTTCGGAAGTCGTGAGGCTTTTAGGGTTTAGGGCTTAGGGCTTAGGGTTTAGGGTTTAGGGTTTAGGGTTTAGGGTTTAGGGTTTAGGGTTTAGGGTTTAGGGTTTCGGGTTTCGGTCTGGGGTTTAGGGTTTTATGGTTCCCCGGCCTGCACCTGAGGAATAATGGCCACAAAGGGACATCCTTACCAAAAAAAGACACCTACCTTATAGTTCCTTTAGGGTTTAGGGTTTAGGGTTTAGGGTTTAGGGTTTAGGGTTTAGGGTTTAGGGTTTAGGATCTAGGGTTCAGGGCTACCTTATACCTTTGGGGTTTAGGGTCTAGGGGCTAGGAGTTCAGCACAACTAGCATGTGGGCCACCTCCGCCTTGTGTTCTCCTGTTCGTCCTGGTGAACTTAGGGGCTAGGGTGCTTTTAGGGTTTAGGGTTTAGGGTTTGGGGTTTAGGGTTTAGGGTTTAGGGTCTCCGGTTTGGGGTTTAGGGTTGAGTGTTTAGGGCTGACGCAAAAACACATGTGTACTTCCTCGTAACTCTTTGGTACACTCTTGTATATGACTGCTGGCTAAGGGGGTTTGCCAGGTTTGGGGTCTACAGAGTTTACAGAGTTCAAGGTTTAGTTTAGGGTCATCTTCACCCACAGAACCTTAAACCCTAGAAGCCGTTTAGCCCTGAACCCTTCAACCCTAAACGCCCTTCAACCCTTGAACCAAAAAGCATCCTGAAACTTCAGCCTGAAACCCTTAAAACGAAAACCTCAAAAAAAAACCCTCAAACCCTAAACAGACCCCCAAGCCCCCAAAAGACCCGAAAACACCCTCACACCCTAAACAGCACTTCAACCCCCGAAAACAACACTTAAAAGAAACACCCTAAAACCCAAAACCCTAAACCCTAACCCTAAAACCCTGAACCCTGAACCCTAAACCCTAACCCTAAACCCTAAAAACAACACCGCAACCCTCATCCCAGGCAGTGTGGCGACGGCTTGTCCATGTGCAAGCGCGAAGGCGCAGTCCATGGCCGGCCCTGGCTGGAGGAGCCTCTTTAGGGTTAGCAAGGGTTTAAGGTTTAGGGTTTAATTAGGGTTTAGGGTTTAGGGTTTAGGGTTTAGCGTTTAGGGTTTAGGGTTTAGGGTCTACGTTAGAACCCCCAAACCTTCCAATCCTGCTCTCTTTTTGGCAGGTTCTTATGATAAATGCACCTTATCGGTTTCTTAGGAAATCTGCAAACAAGTAGGTTCTGGGTTGGGTTTGAGGGGTTTAAGGGTTTAAGGCTTGGGGGGGTTGGGGGAGAGGGTTGAAAGGTTTAGGTGAGTTGGGGATTTGAGGGGTTTAGGAATATGGGGGTTCAGGGTTTCGGGTTCGGATGCATGCCAGGTGGTTGCCAAGCACCCCGGGCCCTGCAGGTACCCCTTTGTGGTGGAGGGGGGGGGGGGGGGGGGAAGGGGGGAAGGGGGGAAGGGGGGAATATGTAGGCTCCAGGTTTGCCCTAAACCCTAAACCCTAAACCCCTCAACCGCAGTCTTGGGGCCCCTAGGAAGATGTGGAACTCTTGGGTTTGGGTTTCGCCCTTGTTGTGTGGCGATGTGTTGCAGTGGAACTTAGGGCCTCTGCGGGTTTAGGTTTATAGGGTTTAGGTTTATAGGGTTTAGGTCTATAGGGTTTAGGTTTATAGGGTTTTGGTTTATAGGGTTTAGGGATTAGGGCTTAGGATCTTCAGAAGATGTTCTTGTTGCTATGAGAGCTCCATGTGGCATAGGATTTTTGGCAAGTGCTTGTTGGGGCGGATGCTGTGCTCATGTGCGGCGTCACCGCCGCTGGGGACTCTGGCAGTCGTAGAATCTCGGTTGTGCGCGCTTCCATGGTGTTGTCATACGTGGCAGGCCGGTACCCCACAACATGTGCCTATGCTTCGGTCGGAGCATATGGACCTGCATCGCGAAACTCGGTGTATATAGATAATTACATGTTTAAATGTATAAACAAATAGTAAATAAATAGATAAGTATATATATATATAGATGTATATCTACACATGCTAAGTTAAGTCCTTGACGTCTGGGAGCACCGACTCAGCTCGCTATGCCCCACCTGAGCTAGCCCCGAACTCCCGAACCCCTCACTCTTCTTTGAGATCCTCGGACAACGCCGTCCAAAGCCAAAAGCCAGGAATACTAATTGACAGTGGTTCCAGCACCTATCCCTAAACCTTTCCTGGCTTCAGGACGCCACAAATCCACAGAATGAGTACACGCCTCAATCGCAGGCAGGCCTTTGAATTGCAGTTCGGTGTGTCAACCCTGAGCGTTCAGGCTTTTGGCTTTAGAGTTGTCGGGCTTGGAGTTTATAGGGCGGTAAAGGGTCTGTAGGGCCTTACTAGAATAAGGCTTAGGACGGTTTAGGATTTATCACTTTCCAGCTCTGCCGAGAATCGAAGCATTGACGGTCGCAAAATGTACGTTTGCTTTCCTGCTTGTGTGTATAGATGGATGTATGTATGCGGGTGCATGCGACGTGAGATTGCAGGCGTTCATTCCTTTTCTGCTAAAAACAGCGTGCGCAATAAGGCAGCACATACCTCTTTTTGCACCATCTGATGAGATGTTCTTCTGTAAGTACGTAGAAGTCCCATGACTAGGGCTTAGGGTTTAGGGTTCAGGGTTCAGGGTTTAGGGTTTAGAAAGGGTTTATAAGGGTTTATAATAAGGGTTTAGGTTTTAGAGTTCAGGGTTTAGGGTGTAGGGTTTAGGGGAAAATTTGGGGCTTTGCAGGCTTGCGAAGCCGAAATGCGGCCTTCGAAGAGCCGGATACGACAGGCCGCCAGTTGGGGACCATAGGCTGTGCCGGATTTGCGACAAGACCCAACATTTTTAGAGGGTAAGATTGTTAGCTTGTTGCGTTTGTTCTTTTCTCGTTGGTCTTTTTTTTTTTTTGGGGGGGGGGGGGGGGGCGGGCCGGGGCGGAATTGAGTCTCGCTCAAAGACCAGATGGGCTTTCACACCTCCGGCAAAATAGTCCTGAAGTCCTTTGTCAACTTGTAAAGTCTAAACCCTAAACCATAAGTCTAAAGTCCGGCGCGAATCTGAACAAATCTGAATCCCTGATCCCGAGCAACAAGTCTACCCTGGAATGTAGAATTAGAAGAAGTGCCGTCAATTCCTTTGGGACGTTCTTGGGCGATCGCCCCCCCCCCCCCACCTAAACCCTAAACCCTAAACCCTAAACCCTAAACCCTAAAGTTCTTCAGCTTCAACCCTAAACCTTACACGCTCCCAACACTCAAGCAGTAAGTTCTGCTTGTGCAAGGGGGATGCTTTCGAGAGCTACCTTGCCCGCGAGCTCCCGGAGCTCTTGCAACTGCAGGCCGCACATATAGGGTTTAGGGTTTAGGGGTTTAGGGGTTTATGGGTTTAGGGGTTTAGGGTTTAGGGTTTAGGGTTTGGGAGCATGCCGCGCCCTGAACCCTAAAATCCAAGGGTCTAGGATGCGTTTCTGGCTCAGAGCCTGTTTAGGGTGTAAACGTAATATGCAGGGGTCAGCACCAGCATGACATGCAAAGTAGATTCCCTCCAGAACTTAGAAATCCCTGAGCCGAGCCTTAAGCCCACAGGCTTTTCATTAGGGTTTAGGGTTTAGGGTTTACTGTTTAGGGTTCAGGGTTTAGGGGCACCCGTAAACAGACCCAAAATTCAATCTCACAGCGTGGGTGCCCCCACCAAGTGGAGGCGCCTAGTCTCTGCCCCTCCACCTCAATGTGAAGCTTATTCCAAATTACGACGCCTGAGGCCTTGATCTGGAAACTTGCACCCTAAACACCAAACCCCAAACCATCTAACACCCAACCCTAAACCCCAAACCCTGAAACCAACCTGCGCTCTCCCTCTATCTCTGTCTCCTCTCTCCCTCTCCCTCTCACTCTCTCTCTTTCTCTCTGAGTCTGCGATGTGCCACGTGATTATCGGACTTCACGGCTTCGTTTGTGTTCGTTTAGGGTTTAGGGTTTAGGGCCGTTTAGGGTTCAGGGTTTAGGGTTTAAGGTTTAGGGTTTCTTCGGGGTTTAGGGCAACAAAAGGGGGCTTGGGGCCTTGCCCAGAACCGGCGGACGGTCCTG